TGAACCCATGGCCTTGGTGTTATCAGCACTGCACTCTCCTGAGTGAGCCACAGGCCAGCCCCATCACAGGATAATTGTGAATCTTAAATATTTATAAAATATTAGGCATAGTATCTAACGCAAACAAGTAAGCACTCACAAAATGGTAATTGTGTTACCATCATTACCATCTTTTTTTACATCATTTTAAAGCAATCTTTATTTCTCTCAGCCCTGTGAGACATCTCCCCACCTGATCCAAAACTTTCGAGGAACTTCTTATACACATTCCTAGCCTCATCCCTAATGAATCTGATGCAGTAAGTCTGGGATGGGGACCAGTCTAGGAACTACACTACTCTAGGGAACATGTGTGGCAGAATATGACTATAACCAGGGCCACAAGAATTCCTAAGATAAATTGAATAGCTCTTTCTAGGTTCAAATAACAACTAGTTAGTCTCTGTACCTTTAGAAAAGTAGTGTAATGACATCAGAACAAGGTTTCCTAACCTCAAAAGAAAGGTGTCACCATTCCATACCCAACTCTTTCCACAATAAATACAAAGAGATTCACTGAATTCTCTGAGTTAAGACTAAAGAATAAGGCTGACCTGTTGGCTCAACTGGTTGGAGCGTGGTGTTGATAACACCAAGCCCAAGGGTTCAGATCCCCCAACAGGCCAGCTGCTTTAAAAAAAAAAAGGACTAAAATATGTTCTTGGAGAGATCAGCAGTCAACAAGCTGCCTCTCCAACTAATGAGGGTCACTCCTGGATAAAGAAAGAGCAAATGGAAGGAAGATCAATACCTATTTGTTTCTTTAGCAGGTCTCATTATCTGAGAGATGGCTTCTCATGATTTATCAGTCAGAGAAAGCAATGAAGGAGACCATAACAAAGCTCAGACACCAAAACAAAAAATAAATCTTACAATATGAATATTTGTCTACTTAGTTCCTTAAAAGAAGTTTCAAAACCACTTTAATAGGCCGGCCCGGTGGCGCACTGGATAAGTGCGCCGCTTGGGAAGCACGGCGGCGCTCCCGC